GTTACAGTACATAGTAACAATGACCTTTTACAAAATACTGAGCCCTTAAAAATGACCCTTTAAAAATAAAATCCCAAAAAAGATTCTTCCAAAAAGAAAAATCCTAAACTTTAAAAATGGGATATTCTCAAAAGTAACATTCCTTTATAACATCTCAATTTCAAAAATGTATGATTAATATTTTAATATTTTGGTTTCATGAAATTAAGGGAAATAAATATTAAAAAACATTTCAATGCTATTAGAATTCACATTAGAAGAATGTCATACAATTATTGCAGTTTTTCTGCTAAACATTAATAAAAGTACAGTAAACTCTTCCTATAACAAAGTCTCATTACAGGAAATTTTTTCCTGTAACAACATTTTTAATCAAAATGATTAATAATATTAAAATTATTCTTTATGTAATGAAATGGTTGCCTTGCATGACAAATTCAGTCTTATTTTTTATTATTATTATTTTCATCATTTTTAGAAATTTTAAGAGGTTAATTTTTCGAGTTTTTATCAGTTTCAAAGGAAGTTTTAATTAAAAAAATTGAATTTTAGAATTATTGGAAACATGGAGAAATAACAGATTATGAAAGTCTTTTCAATTTTCTAAAAGAGGAAGAACTGTTAACAGCTTCATATTCAACTGACATTTTCAACAGTATAAAGGACAACAGTAAAGACCAGGAATGTGACAGAGACTGAATGAAAATTTCAATGATAGAGGACTGAAAACTATTAAAAAGAGTTTCCAAATCAAAAGAAATGCACCAGACTCACTATTTTTATCTCACAATTTTCAACTGTAAAATTAACATCAGAAAAGGCAAAGTAATGTAAAATCAAATAATTTTTCAGGGTAGAATCAATGTAAGTACACATTATTGTGTAAATTCATTCAATGTGTTTATTTTTGGCATTTTATAGATACAGTAGAACCTTGACCGACATTTCTCATGGGACTTAATGAAAGAAAATGAATATGGGTAAACTTGAAAATGCATGAAAATTAGTAAAGAAGTAATAGTCTTGAAAATCAATAAGTATATAAAATTTTAATTGAAAATATTATGAACTTATTACAAAAATATTACGATGCAAAAGGAAAAGGAACAAACACATATTAAAAACATTAGAAATTTATCTTAGAATTCTTTTCTTCTCAGCACTAACAATAAATTATTGACATTTGTAACAGATTACTGTTTATTTTCTGTAAGTTTACATGAATACAGAAAGTTCCTCGTTGTTTCAAAGGCTTTTAAGCAATATGATTTGTTGGCATTGGTTGTGACCGCGTTTTGCCATCTTCATTTTTATCAACAACTTATGAAACCATTTCTTAAACCGACAACACATCAAGTTTAAACATTTTCATCAATTGATGCATAAACATCAAACATGAGGCATTTTCCCAAAGCTGCAACAAATATTAACTTTTTTCTTTAACACTAGTTTTTTTCTCTTTTTTTCCTATGAAAAGCAAAATAACTTCAAGAAATTTTTTTTAAAATGTCAGTAGAATTTCTGAACATTTGATGCAGAAATCTGCTAGTTGCAAAAATGATCCAAATGGACCAATCATTATCTATATATAGACTTAATTGAAGAGTGTGGGTGCTATTAATTGTAGTTGAAATAAGTAAATAGATGCCAATGATACAGTTATGCCACATAATATGATAGAAGTTAGTTACAGTTTGTCTAAAGCAGGGATGGGCAAACTTTTTTGGTCGAGGGCCAAAAATCAAGAAAAAAAATGTTTGGTGGGCCAAATAAGATCTTCAAAATTTAAGAAATAAAAAAAAGTGATATACAAGTTTAATTTAAATATTTAGTGGGATGAAGGAAATTGCGATTTCATTTCTAAAAGTTCCTTATATTAAGGTTCGAAGTGAGATGTGCTTATTTTAAGGAACAAGGCTAAATCCTTTTCTGTTAGTCTACTTCTGAAATAATTTTTTCTAAGGTTCATAATTGAAAACTCTTGTTCACGTATATAAGATTAAGCTAACATAGCACTGATTTTCTGGGCGTGAAATTTTAAATTTTGGAAACTAGCTTTTGGTAATGATTTGTCAAACTTAGGCATATTTAGAAACAACTGCTTCAGATGATTGTTAGATTGTCCGCTCTTTGGAGCGTAAAATGCGCAGTCTGCCAAATGTGAAGTACAATTTACCTATATTAGATTCCATAAGTCAGCTCCTCGAGAAAGACAAACGCTAGTTGGAGCCAATCTACGGCTATTCTATAAAGAACTTCTGCTTTCAACNACTCGTGCCGGTAGAAAAATCCGCTCGTTGGAGCTTAAAATGCGCTGTCTGCAACATGTTAAGTACTATTCGCCTATATTAGATTCCATGTGTCTGTCCTCGAAAAAGACAAATGCTCGTTGGAGCCAATTTACGGCTATTCTACAATGAACTTCTGCTTTCAACATTTTACCAATTGAAGCTGTCTGTGTGATGCTAACTATTTCCATCAATTTATGTTTTGTAGAACAAAAATGGAGAAAGTAAAAATATCATCAGTACTTTGTTAAAAAAGGAAAAACAGAAATAATTTTAAACATAGTCGACAATAAAATGGATGTATATTGTTTATATTTGCCGCTGATCGACAAATAAAAATTCTATCCGCGGGCCGAATAAAATCCTCCGGTGGGTCACAGTTGGCCCGCGGGCCGTAGTTTCCCCATCCTTGGTCTAAAGTAAGAACTTCACTAGCCAATCCTCTGGACCCATGGTGGTGAGTATGGTAACAAGGTATAACTATTTCAGTAGGGGTGTGGGGTAATTTTTTAGGACAGGTTTTGGTTCAGATCAGCAAGAAAAAAGGAATCCTTTTCTTTGGTCTACTGCGTTTGCCCTAGAGTGAAGAGAAACTACCCTCCCTTAATGCTTCTTGAAATGGCCTCAGACTTTGTGACAGGGGGAGTTCTTACCATAGACAAACTATACTTCCCTATTTAGGTTATTCCTTTCCCGTATTTGTTTATTTGGGCATAAATTCAAATAAACAAAAACAGGACACAGTGCAGGGCAATTAATTTTACGAAGCTATTTGTATTCCAGTGCTCCATTTCAATTTGTAATGCACCCATTATAATATATATATTTAAAACTGTTTTCTTCCTGTTTAACAGAAGTCTATCGCCACAACTTCTGACTCATTTACAGAACTTACGTCACATGCCAAAATGCAAAAAAATATCAATCCTACTTATTTCAACTTTAATACCACAATAGCCACTTATGTATTTGTTTATTTAGACATAAATTCAAATAAACAAAAACAGGAAACAGTACAGGGTGATTAATTTTACGAAGCTATTTGTATTCCCGTGTTCCATTTCAATTTGCTATGCATCCATTTTAATAGATAAATATATATATTTAAAACCGTTTTTTTCCTGTTTAACAGCAGTCTATAGCCACAACTTTTGACTCATTTACAGAAATTGCGTCACATGCCAAAATGCAAATAAAAATCAATCCTACTAAATTCAATCTTAATACCACAATAACCATTCTTCAACACACATTTCATAAATAAAATACTTTGAAATATATAAAATGTTCGCTTATACACAACAGATTTGTTAGTGATCTGCATCAAATTTGAATAAAATTACACATACTTAAAGCTATCATTTGGCATTGCTAAACATACAATTTATAAATAAAAAAGATTATCTACATTGAATATGTGCACTGTGTGCAACAGAATTGTTACTGCTATGCAAGAAATTGGATTAAAAAAAAGAAATTAAAAAAAAAATATATACCAATAGACAAAACCTAAACCACACATTTGTCACCCTTAATAAACAAATATGAGTAATTCCATCATTTATGAATGTCACATTTGTTGATGTCATAAATACTTATTTCAATTTTCAGAAATGTACAATTTTTTTACAAGCTAAATACTGGTTGTTACACACATAACATATTAAATTACACATATTAGATTACATCTGTAACACCTAGTTTTTTTTTAAATTTAAATTACAAAAAATAGGCTAAGAGTAAATAGATGACACAAGGACTTATTTTTCCAAACATTATTAGAAATTGATAGGAAATTTTTTTAAATAAGTTAACTATGCTTTTAAAATCTGTAAATATGACATTCATAAATGGTAGGATTCCCTGTTAATAATATGTTTGATAGAGTTAAATAATGATGAAACCAGATTTGATATATATATATACACATATGTATGTATGTATATATAAACAATACTGAAGTTTAGACCTGTCCACACTTATTGAAAAGCACACCTTTTATAAAAAATAAAGATATAATAATAAACACAAAAAATATTAAAGACATGAAAATAACTTACACAGAAAACATGTATCCTATTTCTTTTTTACAGAACAGCTCTGAAGCAATGTCATTCTATTATTGATTTTATCACCATTTTAGAGGATAGCAAGCAATAATTAATTCCACAGCCATTTTTAAAATTTTTACATAGGACAAACATATTTCTCATATCCCTCCACAACTAAAACAATATACTCAAGCACAATTTATAACAAAATGACACTAAAAATTAGACCCTTGCACTGACTCACAAAATTTCTGCACATCACCTTAAAAATTAATTAAAACAATCCTTACCTAAGCATATTAACTATGTACATTTCTATCATATTTGTACAGTATTGCAAATGAACAAGTTTTCCAAATGAATATAATTTTAGATTTGATTCTTAGATTATTAAAAAAGATTAATTTAATTTAAGACTACCTTTACATTTTACTTTCTTGTTAATTTCCTATTGTCGAAATACTTTTCTATATTTAAATACTCAAAGGCTTCAGCAAAAATATTTTTTTACAGAATAATAAAACAGGACTCTGACAAGAATTCCTGGATTGATTGAAGAGTTAAACTATTTTTTTTTTTTTGAAGTAACAATAAATTAAAAACTTGAGAATACAAGATAGAATAAGAATATATGATATAATTTTGCAGTATAAGTACTTACTCATTTCCCGGACATGTATAATCAATCTTGCCACATATCCCAAATATTCCTCCTAAAAACAGAGCATAATTAGTACATTACTCAATTTTAAATACACATTACACTACACATATCAAAATATTCCTTTAAGACACCTATATGTTACATTTATTGATTTAAATAAAAGTTGGTCTTGAAGATTGTAAAAAAGTATATACAAAAAATCTTAGAGATTTTAAATAAGATTTGCACCTTTTAACGTACTTTATTTAGACATATGTAAGGGGAAATATATTCCAGACTTTTACAAATTTATCATGAAAATACAAACATCTATTTACTAATATTATTATACATTTTATTAGGGATATAATTAGCTAAAATCATCCAAAACATTTCAATCTTAAGCTTACTCATAAAGATAAATAATGATAAACATTTTGAAATTGCATGAAAATAAATTTCAATATATATATCATTCAAATTCATAGGGGGCACTCTAAAACATGTTACAAATCATAATAAAAAGATTCTTAAGGTCACTAAGATGACTAACAATGGTTATCAAGTGCTTTTCAGGTTATTTTCGATTCTTAAAAGTCGATAAAAATCTAATATAACAGTAAAATCTCTAAATAGTTCACTTAGTATTAACTTTCTAATACTTATAACCAAGAATTGCCTTTTTGCCTGATTAATAAAATAATTTTTTGATGTAATTATATATTCCAACATGAAAAACTTTTTACAGTTAACATATTAAATCTGCGACAGACACAGTGTTTTCTGTTTAGGATGCATCGATCACCCGTGAGTGCAGTGTGAAATACAATAAAAAAATTTACATTGTATTACGTAATTAATGAAAATTTATTTTAAATTTTTTTAATTATAACCAATCAATTTTTAATTATTATAATGAATCAGCACACTTGGTCTGTCCGAGATTTCCTTAAAAAAGTGAGTGGCGCTCATAGCAATATAGAATCAGTTCAAATTCAAACTTCAAGTTAATTTTAATTTAGCAAGAAGATAAATGAAGAACATAGATTAACTTTGATAGATAAAAAATTTGAAGACAATAAAAAATGTTAATTGCTTACTTTACTCTTTGCTTTTTGGAAAACATGAGTTTCCATTTCTGGTACACTCTTTTGAGTAGGATTTCCAGATTGGCGGATCGCTTCTTCGCTACAAAACAAATGAAAATATTAAAACTTCAAATAAAAATAAATCAACAATTTTACTATAATCAACAAATAACAATAAATTTTAATCTCAAGGTATTTGGAATTTTTTGCATTGAAAATGAATAGTATTATTGATATTATTGATGTGCATATTAAAAGCTTTATGGAGTATATAAAGGCTGGAGTATTTTATGATTACATATATTGTGCATTCATAATTCATTAAAAATGATAAAATTTTAATACTCCTAAAATATTGTAGAATTATTTCAATATTTTTCATGACTTGAAAAATAAAATATGAATTTTTACAAGAAAAAAAAAACTTTCTTTTAAAATAATACTTTGACATGAGATAGATTTTGTGATTTCCAGAAAAATTCTGTCTTAAAGAGAATATACTATACCAGGAAGGGAAAAAAATGTTCCAACAAGATATAGTATTGCCCAATATTATTCAAAGCCATTTTTAATCCTCATGACAAAAAGTTTTTAAAGTTTAAAAAAAAAAAAAAAAAAAAAAAAAAAAAAATAAAAATTCAAACATACTGAAAACAAATGCTTTCAGGAAGTTTTGCACATAATTACCAACTAATCTACATTAAAATCGATGATTCTGCATACAGGATACAGCCTATTAAATTATTATATCTAGAAATGCAAGTATTGATTAGAACTAGAGAATTTATTGTCTTTTCAATATCACGGATCATTGTAATCACTTTTTTTTAATAAAAAAAAGGCTGCGTTTTAATTTTTAAAACATTGGTCAACTTTGACATTTATATTATTTCATATAGCTTTTGTAATTTATGAATAAGTTATTATTTATGAAATTTATTTAATTTATGAAGATTTCAAACTTAAGCGTTTAGTAAATATAACATCATTAAAAAATTAAATTATAAATGTACTCTTTAGGTGTATCTTTAAATTGAGCATTTATAATGTTTTTAACTGGGACCTGCTTTTGACAAAAAGGGCAATCAACTTCTTCAACAAAAAAAATTAAAGGTTAGTCCTGAATATCCATAGTTTTCAACTCTAGCAGAATCACTGTAAAATGCAATACAAAATGTATTGAAAATTGGAAAAAGCTATCTAAATTTGTCATTACAATATGATTCTAGCAATAGACATAATTAGAAAATGTCAAGATAGATATTATTTTGAATTTATATATATACATATAATAATTATATATAAAACATATTAACATAACAACTCAAGGAAAGAATTTTAAATTATTAGAAAATCTTCATTAGGGAGCGCATGACAAATATTCCAAAGAGAGAGACCTCGAAGTTAAAGGAAGATTGTGGAAATATATACATAAGATAGTAGTTTCGCCCTGTAAATAAATTTATATAGTCATCAGGGGTCTGTCCAGGCCAAATTTACTACCGTTTAGCGGTACTTTCACAAATTCAACTTTAGGAAACACAAAATACTTTTTCTTAAAATTTCATTTTTGTATCCCATATGAAACGATAAATCCATATTTTCGTGTTGATTTTTAATTAGAATTTTCACAAATTACGTCTGAATTTTCACAAAGTAGGTACCTCTCAGAAAAACCTAGACAGACCCCTGGTCATTTTCAAATAGATTCCAATACAATTTAATTCAGATTCAAACTAACTATAGAATCATCCTTAGGGAATGATTCCTAGACTGTGGCCAATATCCTGAACTACAGCTATAATGTGAGGTAAATACAATACTACTACTTCTTCTCAAACTTACTACTTTCGTTTTAACATACTCATTGACTAATACAATTTAGTATGAGATATTGAATTCGTGATGGCATTCACAAATTATGAGCTCTACTGGATTGATTTGTCTAATGTACTGACATTAAAGGTTTTGCGTTTATAATTAATGTGTTTCATTTAATAGTCATAGATAATTTCAATATATATATACTAGATAAAACAAATAATTACACATTAATCTAAATAAATGTAGATACGTTTAATGTTAGTAATGTCTAGGTATTATCAATTATAATTAGTCAAAACTATACAGTAAATCAATTAACTTATCAACGATTTTAAAAGAACACAAATATTGTCGAATTATTATCATTTTTTTTTGTTTTTTTCAAAAGTAGCACATAGTTGGTCATCCCTGTCAAATAAAAACGAATCATTGAATATATCCCATAATTGAAATAATAATCATACATTTTAGCTCTAACATTTTGCCGAAAACTTTGAGATCGCCAAGAAAGTTCCTGACTATCAGCCATGTTCTCCATCTTTATTTAATTTCAAGAACAATTTTGCTGTTATTATTTAGAAATACTTGCATAACAGAAATAAAAATATTGACGTCCGGACGTCTTCTAAATAATGCGCTACTTCATTTCCGATCGTGTTGTGTTTGCTGTTGCCATCAGCTTTAAATATAGTGCCATGGAGAAGGGATTAAGTGCTACTCTCTTTGGAGGGGATCTTTTCGTAGCGAGCTTTTCGAGAAATCGCTAGCACGAGCGACAAAAAGTATAACCAGTGAGAATGGTCGCTTAGAGATGTATTTTTAATGCCGTTACTACTATATTTAACCATTCTTGAAAAAATTAAAGCAATGAGTCCTATCTCGCTATTTGAATTGTGGTTCAACAATTGACGCAATTGTGTTGTGGTTCTTTAAACACTTTTATAAACACTTTTTTTACAAGCACCGACAAACACTTTTACAGGCAGCTGCCACGATTATTCAACCGATATGATTATTTCACCGGCATGTTCATTTCACGGACACGATTTCTCCAACCACAGCTCATTTCGCCGCCAAGATCATTTTGCCAATACAATCGATTCAAATAACTTTTCTACTCGAAATTTTAATTACTGCTGGGACGTTGGAAGTACAATTATTAAGTATTATAGTTCTGTAGAGAAGTTCCAAAATTGAAATAAATATTTTAATTGAAAAATGATGTAGTATACTCCATCATTTTACATTCAGTATACTGAATGTAAACAATAACAAACTACTTCCAAAAACGAACTTACTTTGCGGTGCTTATAAAATCATCCCCGTTGAAAACACGCTCTCCAGTCAAGCGAACAAAATTTGTTGCTTAATTTGTTATGACATCTGCATAAGGAGATCGCTAATTTGTGTATTCTATCTGAAGTTTACCTCAGTGGAACAGTTTAAAATGACTGGGCGTTTTACGTTTTTCCAGACAGCAATGACCAATTGCCAACAAAGAAGCTAAGAAGCTTTGTAAGATAGCAGTTTATGCGTTTCCTTTATTTGGTCCTCCTAAGCTCGCAAATCAAGTGCTTTAAAATTAGTTGCCTATAAACACTCTGAAGTTTTTATAAGGCTTTGATCAGGTGGTTAGTAAGCAAACGTTACATTTGGAGTGAAAGGAAAGAATACTATTTTCATCAGTCAGTCATCTATGCTCTTTGACTAGCTTTCCATTGTACTCCCAAACTAAATTTTTGAAAAAAGAAGTATATTTAGCCGTAACAAACTCAATATTAATTTCATGCCTAAATTTTGCCAGTTTGTGAATAAAATTAAATCAGCATGAAAAAAAATTTAAAATAAAAATTTTTATTTTAAAATTACTTGTCCACTGTTTGAATTCGCAGAATCAAAGGGATTTGTTCTAGCCATCCCCTCCCCAATATTTTAAAAGACACGTCATTTTCATCGGGGCAAAATTTTGTATGTGTCCTTTGATAATCATAAACAAAAATATTTCCATAAGTTAAACAAAAAAAGTTTCGAGTCGATCTTTTCTGAAATACCAAGATATGCTTAAAATTTATTATTAGAAAATTTCAAAAAATCATTTTGTCAAAGTCTATATCATAGGTAGCATTTAAATGACTTATAATGAAAAGATCACATCAGACGGTGTTTTAAAGTGATGCGTAATCCTATATTTGATTGTTCTTTTCCGAATTTTGCTTATATACACATGTCCATGCTTAATTGCATAATTTTATTGTTTGAGGCTCTTTTTGGAATTCATCTGGAGGGTTCCCCATTAATTTTTTTTTTAAATTAGTTTTAAGTATGTAAGAGTTCTTTGATGAACTAATCCCAACTAAAAGAGTGTTCAATTTTTCAAAAATACCTAAATATGCTTAAAATTCATCATATAATATTTTTAATGAAGATTATGTTGTCCTCGATGATCAAGATGTGTAGCGTCCCTTCTCCCGTGTCGTTGTTGTTGTCGCGTCTATGCTAGTGCAAAGATTAGAGTCCTCCAAAAGTCTTGATAACAAGGTTTGCAAGTTCTGGAGCCTGATGGCTATGGAGAATTTCGATGGGAGGTGCTCCAAGTTGAAAGAGGGAGCCGATAATAGCCTGGCAGTCAAAAACATGGTCTGGAGTTAGTTGCAAATGAGGACAGTACTTGCACATGGGATAGAATTTTATATGGGTGCGTGAGATCTTCATGCCCTTGAAATGTCCAGTACGTAGCCTAGCTATTGTAGAGGAGAGGTTTCTTGGGCAGTTTAGATCGGGGATTGTTGCCTTGCTAAAATGCTGGTTGTATATCCTTCGTCTG